ACAGACACAGACACAGACACACAGACACACGCGGCTTTCCTTCTGAAGCTTGGTGGGTGTATGTTTGGATTTCATTGTCGGGACACTAGCAACGAAAGCCCAACTGGACACCCCAAACCCTAACTTACCACATACACTGCAGCCGCAAAGCCGTGCGTCGTAAACGGTTTTTGGTTGCTGGTAGACTAATAAGTTGTTAAGGACCCCAACAGTCGAAGTTGTGGTCTTGGTGTTTGGGGTTGAGGGATTCGGGCATAGGGTGTAACGTAGCGGCCTCAAGAATGACCTATATGATTTTGGGAGTTCCTTTTCATAATTATGCTATAGAGGACCCCCAAAACCCTACTCTAGTTATTCACGTACCTATATTAGGGTTTCAGGTCGTAGTTCAGTGTAGGTTTCAGGGTTTCTGAGTTTCCTGGCCTACGGTGTGGGGTTTCAGTGTTTCGGTTTGCCAAACCTAGATTGAGGGTGTATAGAGCTGGTTCAGAGCCTTTTTGGGGGTTTGTGGGGCTTGGCAGGAAGTGCCTAAGCGCGAAGGTCATAAGCCCCTTAATGGGGTCATATATAACTATTAGAACTATATTTATTAACCCACTTATAACCACCCATGAACTTCGAAGTACGCCCGAAACCAATCCCATGTCCAGGTGCAGACTACTGCATGGCACACTTCGACCAGTGGCAGACACTCTGGGACGATGAGCGGAAAGGCTACTGTTGCAGCCGGGCTTACCCACAGCCTTATTGTGGCGATAGGCTTGCCTTTATTGAGGGTTTCACCAAGCTTCATTGGGTCATCCCTGTTATCGAAAACTACCACTTGTCACTTCCTGGAACCATTGAACAATTGTACTTACTTGTGCATCATCTTAATTCGTAGATGATCTCATGCCGATCATAAGTTTCGTCGAGTTAGGCAAATCCTTGTTATGGCGTTACGGCTTGGTGAGATTCATTGCGCGCGAAAGGCGAATCTTAGTAGAGCGACTTCTGAATATTAACCCCTTACATTTCAAGCCGTCGCCACCACGTAAACCAAAACGCTGAATCCCTTTGAGAATGAGCGCAGCTTGACTAGTTTAACTGCGTCAAATGGCCTCCTCAACCCTACATACTAGTTTGAACCTTGGACCCTGTGGGACAGTATCAAACCTGTAGTTCGATTGTAGCCAAATACTATGCTGCTGAGGTTCAGCTTCTTCAATATGTTTAAGAAAAAACAACGCTACTCTTCGTATCACCTAAGCTTGTGATTACTCGGCTGCGGTCTCGAACAGACCCTAAAGCCCCAAAGCTACTAACCCTAAACTAAACCCTAAATCCCTGAAGGCCGCATGCAAGCCCTACATCCCTGAAGGCCCGAAGCCCTAAATCCCTGAAGGCCCTAAGCACTGAAACCCTGAAGGCCCTAAAACCCTAAATCCTGCAAGTCGAGGCGATCGTTGCGGCCGCGCTTGCCCAGAGGCAATCATTGCTGTCGCTCCAGCACCCCCACCGCCACCGCCGCCGCCACCGCCACCGCCGCTCCCGCTGCCACCGACAAAAGCGCCACTTGTTTCACAAAAGGATTCAGGACTAACTCAAAGCCTTCTTACTGTCCCTATACCCCAAAAAGCCCTGGGGCATCGAGCTCATGATTTAGGCTTTATGGGCTTCCATTCTCACAACACTAAACCCGAAAGTATTAGCTTAGAGCTTCTTGAGGATATTTTTATGGTTCTTGGTTAACCCTACGAGAACCGTATGGAGCCCCATAAGGTATGAGCACCCTAAGTTCTATACCCTAACGGGTTTAGGGTCTATAGGGCTTGGGGGTAAAACCCGAGACGGCCCGCCTGTTTACAAACAATTCAACACCACCGCTTGTGTCTACGAACAACAGTAACAAGAAACAACATACAACATACAAGGTCACATCACAACGAAAGCTCAAAAAGAACAGATGATGGAACCATTCACAAACCATCGAACCATGATACAAGAAGATGGACGCCTGCGCTACCGTTAAACCTGCCTTTTCACAAACGCAGGCCCCACGGTAGCCCTTTTTGAAACAAACGCCCTAAGCCCCTAAACGCCCTCAACCCTAAACGCTGTATAGTAACCTTATAGATCCCTTGTAGGAACCTGACAGACCCCTTATATACCCCTTATGGGAGCCCTGAAAGGAACACAACCCGAAACTCCAAACGCAGGGGACTTTAGAGTTTCATCGAATGGGCTGGGAACTGAACACCTGACTGCCCGAAGGCTCCATGTACCCAATTTGCCGTAACACTGTAACACTCTAAACCCTAAACGCCTATATAAACCCTAAACCCTAACCTTAAAAGCCTACGTGTATACTATATGGGCACATCATGGAGCCTTAGGCCCGGTCACCTCAAATCCAGAGCTTGTTGTTCAGCCTCCCCAGAGACTTCAACACCACAATTCAGCAAAGCACTTTGAACAGTGGAGTTATCCTCAGTATGACTCGATGAACTGAAAGTATACTTAGACCCTACAGTTTATTGTCGCTTGTCTGGAACATCGTGGCTAGAATCAAGATACTGCGTTACATGCTGGGTTTATAAAGGGGTTCCCTAAACCCAAAACCTTACCCTAAACCCTAAACCCTAAACACTAAACCCTAAGCCCTGCACCCTCAAAACCCTCGTCCTGCACTAAGGGGTGCTGTAATCACTGGGCCATACATACCATGGCCCTGCTCTAACTGCCTGGGTCGTGCTCGTGATTTAAAGCGGTTTAGGGTTTAGGGTTTAGGGTTGCTCCAAATCCAAAGATCTGACACCCCAGAATGCTGTGTTCGTAACCTACAGAAAGCCCAAATTCCAATACCACTGTTTTGGGGGGATGTACTTGAAAGTAGTTTACTCTAGCCTCTAGACCCTACTTGTTGTCTTTTACCCTAGAACCTAAACTCTAAAACCTAAACCCGACATTCCTGAATCAAGGGGTATTTTGGGGCTCTCTGGTTCAGGAGCTCCCCCTCTAAAGCTTTCGTTTCGTTCTATCTGAATCTATTAAACAAAATCCCAAGGCTCGAACCCTAAACCCTAAACCCCAAGGCTCGAGACATGCAAGCATTTAGGGTGTAGGGTTCGATGCCTCAAGCAGGCGGCTTCGGCTGGGCTGAGGCTTTAGGGCTTTGCACTTGGTCGTTAACCCCAAAACCTGAACGCTAAACCCGAAACGTTTCCGGAGGGAACAGCAAGAACCCGTAACCCTTAAGCCTAAAACCTAAACCCTAAACCCTAAACCCTAAGCCCTAAACCTTAAAACCTAAACCGCCTGCAGAATTGCAAGGAGGTGTCCAAAGGGTTGAAGAGCTCCCCGAAGCTTTGCCGTCGAGAGTCAGACACAGATGCTTCGCCTCATGAGCACCAACCATGAATGCAGAAACCCTAAACCCCTAAACCTTAAGCCCCTAAACCCTAAACCCTAAACCCTAAACCACCCCTCGGAAAGCAGAGGCTGGGAACTCTTTCCAGGTCCCCTCGAGACGATACTGTTTGTC